AGAAGGGAAGTGCAAAGTTATGTTTCTGCTAATTAAGAAAATTAACTGCGCATGTCCCATTTATTAGTTCTGATATAACTGGTAGAAATAAGTGAAACAAATTACCTGGAAATGTGACCAACAAATCAAGTCCCATATAACAACTTCCAGGCATCTGAAATTTTGTAAACGATGAACGATAGGTGAAACAAGATAAAGTGAATATAACCACAAAAAAGATCATAAACACCAAGTGTAACCAGCACCTGATTCCACACTCACCAGAGCAAGTGTGACCTTTTATATTAACACTCAGGTCAATAGTGCATATTCACTATTCCAGTTTGATTCTGCAGATGCCCAATGGTCCCACCAATAACAGGGATTTTATATCCACTTAAACCTTCTTCTTTGTGCCCCCTTCTGTATCAATTCTTTTGGAATTCCAGCATAGAATAAGCAGAGGGATGCTCATTGGGAAGAAACTAATTGAAGAACAGATGTGAAAATATCCAGCTAAAACCCTAAAGTAAAATTAAACCTTTGGGGTTTTTTTTGCATATATCTACTGCTAGCAAACATAAAAAAAAAAAAAGGAAAAGTTACCAAATGGGTAAAAACGTACCTGTGTCTCCGCCGCTCGCTCCCGTCCAAAGATTCTCAAACTGTTTCCACAGTTGGGAGCATGAAATGGTCCAAAATGTCTTGGTATGTTGATGCCTTAAGAGTTCCCTTCATTGGAACTAAGAGGGCAAGCCCAACCCCTGAAAAACAACCCCACACCATAATCCCCCCCCTCCACCAAACTTTACACTTGGCACAATGCAGTCAGGCAAGTATCGTTCTCCTGGCAACTGCCAAACCCAGACACGTCCATGGGATTGCCGGAGAGAGAAGCGTGATTCGTCACTCCAGAGAGCACGTCTCCACTTCTCTGGAGTCCAGTGGGGGCGTGCTTTACACCACTGCATCCGACGCTTTGCATTGCACTTGGTGATGTAAGCCTTGGATCCAGCTGCTTGGCCATGGAAACCCACTCCATGAAGCTCTCTACGCACTATTGTTGTGCCAATCTGAAGGCCACACAAAGTTTGGAGGTCTGTAGCTATTGACTCTGCAAACAGTTTGCGACTTCTGCGCACTGTGCACTTCAGCATGCACTGAGCCCGCTCTGTCATTTTACGTGGCCTACCACTTCGTGGCTGAGTTGCTGTTGTTCCCAGTTGCTTTCACTTTGTTATAATTGACTCCACAATATCATAACTCCATTTCCGTGATGGTATGTGGTAGATAGATATGTATGCATATATACACTATATTACCAAAAGTATTGGGACGCCTGCCTTTACAGGCACATGAACTTTGATGGCATCCCAGTCTTGGTCCGTAGGGTTCAATATTGGGTTGGCCCACCCTATGCAGCTATAACAGCTTCAACTCTTCTGGGAAAGCTGTCCACAAAGTTTCAGAGTGTGTCTATGGGAATGTTTGACCATTCTTCCAGAAGCGCATTTGTGAGGTCAGGTACTGATGTTGGACGAGAAGGCCTGGCTTGCAGTCTCCGCTCTAATTCATCCCAAAGGTGTTCTATCGGGTTGAGGTCAGGACTCTGTGCAGGCCAGTCAAGTTCCTCCACCCCAAACACGCTCATCCTTTATGGACCTTGCTGTGTGCACTGGTGTGCAGTTATGTTGGAACAGGAAAAGTTCTAAGCTATTAATCTTCTCAATATGTGTTAATACTTTAAAAACAAGTTGCTGCGTTTAATTTGTGGCTATATCTGTACATGAGTGCAGCCATATTTGGCTATTACATATGCAAGTTCTGCTTTGGAGTGCTTGGTTTTGCTCTAAAGGAAAAGTATTGGGAAAGTAAAATATTCTCTTGCTAATACTTAGAGCCGGGGTGTGACACTGAAGGTGTCACATGCCGGCTCTGTAGATTGAGAGCTGAATGATCACAAACCACTGATTGCTGAGTTTGTGGTCTTCTCCCTGCAGAGAGTGGTGACCGTCAGTCACTGCTCCTCCTAGGTATTTCCCCTCTCTGTTCCTGCAACGCTCATTGGAAGGACAGACAGTGGAGGGGGCAGGCACAGCTGGCTCTGGCTCTAGAGAGACGCAGAGCCAACTGTCAATAAGGCAGTGGCGTGCATCCCGCAATATTGTTGGGATCTTTCTCGGCTACAGCACAGCTCTAGCAGGCAGTAGCCCACTAGATGCTGACTTTGGTTCATAGGACTACATTAGGAAATGCACTCCTTTGATCCAAAACAGGACTGAAGCCCCCCCAAAAAATGCAAGTCTATTATTTGGGTAACTCTGAAAACAATATACTACCTAGGTTTCACTGATAGTTGCATCTTGGCCTAATATACATATCAATGATCAATACCAAAAGAGCAAGCATGTAAAAATGTGAACATCATATACAAATACTGTACAAACTCTCCTAAAACACAGACAGAAATACAACCCATTTTGTGTAGTAGAGTAGAGCAAGGCTAAAACCTCTGTATTGTATGTAATGTATCTTATAATTTCAATAATGACAGTTTAATGGAGAAACTGTTCACAAAAACTTCCTTCTTTGTTGCAGGAGGAATGTTTAATTATGTGTCTGGAGCAAATTTCTTTGGTGAAATCGTGGAATGGTTTGGGTATGCCATAGCAACTTGGTCTCTCCCAGGATTTGCCTTTGCATTGTTTACCTTGTGTTCCATTGGACCAAGAGCTTATCATCATCACAAGTAAGACCTGGAAGAGTTGAAAAAGACTCTTCACTATAAAAAGTGTAAATTAAAACAAAATGGTAACAGACATCCATATAAGACATGTACTTTCTTTGCATTCCTTATAACAGGAAAACAGTTAACAATATACATCATGTTATATCATATGTACATCATGTTATTTAAATGGCAGAGTTACGTTTGATAAAAAAATAAAATTAAACTACTCTTGTCCACCACCTTAGAAGCCTATAAGCACCCCCGAGCTTACCTAGCTGCTTGTTTACTACAGTATGACAGCCATGGCCTTCTCCACTGTTTATCCTTATTCCCAGACCAAAATCTTCCTCAGTATTGGCTGCACCTGGGCAGAGAACAACCATTGACTTCAACTGAGCCATTCTAAAAGCATCTCTAGTCTCAGAGTATGGTACTATACAAGTCTTTGAGGACTCACTGCGCCGGTTGCAGCCAGCACTGAAGAACATTCCAACCTGGAGGCCAAAGTAGTTTTTTGCATTGTTGATACAATCAGAGTTTTCATAACTATTTGCTTCCTTGCTATGTTCCGACTCAGGTATGTAGCTTTAAAAATAGCATGACACTGAAAACAGAAGGACTCTGCCAATACCTAGTTACATGGCTACAGTGTATATACAATGGGGGGAATTCATCAAAACTGGAGCTGACAAAATCTGGAGCAGCTTTGCATGGTAACCAATCAGCTTCTCTCTTCCATTTGTTGAGTTAAGATTTGAAAATGAAAGATGGATACTGATTGGTTGCATGCGTTCAGTGTTAAGGCTGGAGTCACACATTTTAATGCGTCCTTATATTTATTAATAATCCTGCAGTTTCATACACTGCTGTTGTTGTCCTTATTAGGTCCTAAAATGCTCCTTGATGCATTACAAAACAGAGAACAGATTAACATATCGCACAGATGTGAACTAGCACCATTTAAACACAATGGTAACCACATGTACATGCATTGATATGCTTTAAAAGACACAGATGTCAGTGGGCCTTAATACTTTGCTTTCCTGAGATCTAAGGTTTACATCAGACCTTGGTCTGATGTAAAAAGTACCATCGTTTTTAGGGAATTGTGCTGATACATTAAAGACCTTTTACAGGTGAAACTCGAATAATTAGAATATCGTGCAAAAGTTCATTTATTTCACTAATGCAACTTAAAAGGTGAAACTATGCACGATATTCTAATTATTTAAGTTTCACCTGTATGTGTATAGTATTGAAAGTGTTTTTGCACTTTACATTGAACTGTCCCATCCCCCCTTGCAAGACTTATACTCACCTGTTCCCCTTCAGAGCATGGAGTATGAACTTTCCAAAGGATTAAATAAAGAGTCTATAGCACATGCGTGGACCTGGTTACAGAGATTTTATTAAGCAGCCAAGCAGCTTCATGGACTCTATGTCACTACATCAAGGAAAGGTTAGCATAAAGGTGCCCATACACCTGCTGATTATCGTACGATAATCGTGGGTGATCCCGCAACCATACAATAATCGGCAGGTGTATGGGCAGCGTGCGACCGCTTCTACTGTAAGTTAACACGACATTTGTCTTCCGGGCACGCCTGAAAACCTGCCGAAAATCGTATGATTTTCGGAGGGTTAGTGGCGTGCTCGGGAGACGAATGCCGCACGGGCCGGTGTGCGCAAGCTTGCGATGATCACAAGTACGATCTGCCTGTCCAAGATGAGCAGATCATATGAAATGTTAATTACCTTACAACCATCGCACAATGAAAGACGTGCGATGGTTGTAAGGTGTAAGCTTAAGACTTGAAGGAGGGGGAGAAGGCCAAGATATAACTGCACCAAAAACACTTTGGTAATAATTCCACTTTCCAGTTGTACAAAGTTATTTAAACACTTTTTTATTTTTCACATTTGCTAAAATCTTCTATTTCTACAGGTTTTATCTCCTGGAGTTCAAACACTACCCCAGAGAAAGGAAAGCTTTGATTCCTTTTATTTTCTAACCCTGTGAATGGAACTAATGGAATACCTGAGATTGGACAGTCTAAACAGTCGAACTGGACCACATTTTTGTATATGTCACATGTGAAATCGTCCCTTCAATATTTTATAATTCCTTATAAATATTATAGATTTAGCTTGTCTATTGTATTTTTTGTATCTGTTCTAGACCAAAGCTTTCAGCCATTGGTATGTATACCCCGGGGGATACATTTGTTACTTGTAGTAAATTTATACAACTGTTTAAATTGTGTCAAATAAATTAAACACAGTATAAAACAGATCTGGATAAGTATTTTGTAGTCATTTAAAACAAAATGATTTATTGGAAAACCATTAAATACATTGAGGGCCCATTCACACTATGTCTGGAGCAGAACGTTTTTTTGTCCGCACCTAAAATACATCCCAATGTATTCCTATGGTATTCCTGGGCTCTGTTCACACCAGTGTGGTCCATTTCGGTGTGGGGGGAAAAAATTACTTCATGCACAATTTTTTTTTCTGGTCTGGAACACACCAAAATGCATGTACACTCATCAAAATGCACTGAAACGCACCTGAAAGCCCATTCAGGCTTTAAAAAAAAACCAACAAAGCGCATCAAAAACAAACCACAACGTGTTTGCAGAACTGTGTGGTCCAGACATGGTGTGAATGGGCTCTTAGGGAGTACTAGTATTAAATGTGCACAAGGTGGGCGCAGTGTATTAACGATGGTTGTTATAAAGGTGTACATACCTTGATCGTGCTGAGAAACACTGTTCTAGAATATCCCGTCATCTGCAACTAAGCATTTATTTTCTGAAAAACTGGAACGTCTTAGGCTCCATTCACATAGAGGTTGGAAAACCAGTGCATTCGTCTGCGCAGCGCGAAAACATGCACATTTTAACATGCGAGCTGACTCCGCCCATTTGTGGCTACTACTATAGCTGGAATGTGCTGAATCTGCCCAGAATATCGCACTTGGACTTTTTAGTGCGATGTGCATTTTCATGCCATGCGGAGGTCACGCAGGTCTGAACAAGGAACAAGGTATAATGGAATATATCAGTTTTTATGTTTTCCGCGGTTCTGTGCGTACAAAGGAGCCTGAGATTAACAAAGAGAAACAACAGATACAAAAATCCGTAAATAGGGGAGCGGAGTTTTAATATTTTTTATAAAATAAATTAATTGTTACAGCTCTCCAGAGCTCTCACCCCAATTCAGTCACTTTGATGCAATTCATATATTTTTGAGGGGGATTTATAACGGACTATGAGTATTAACACATCAAAGTTTTATTTAGTTGGCTTTGTTTATGCATTTATGTAGGAAGTTACTGAAAGGAGAACTATGGGGTCAGGGCTTTTCAACATTGTTTTCCTAAGGGTAACGGGAGTACACAAACTAGCGTCTTCCCGTCACCCAAAGCTCAGTATACTGCGAGCTACAGCTCGCGGTATACTGGAGACGCCGCATCCGGAATGGATCCCGACAATGCTGTCTGGATCCACCCAGCTGCGTGAGTGACAGCTGGCTCTGCCTATCTAGAGCAGAGCCAGCTGTACCCACCCCCTCACCGTCCGTTCCGCCAGTCAGCGCTGGAGGATCGGACAGGGGAGGGGGGGAATCCTTGCAGGGAGCCATGAGTGTCGGCTCTCTGCACGGATAGATCGAGAAGTGAGTGAGCGACGGTATGTGTTCGCTCACTTCCCAATCTACTGAGCCGACCTGTGACAGTTTCATTGTCGCAGGTCAGCTCAGATTATGAGGCTGAGTAAAAATCACTCACCTCATAATTCTCCTTGAAGCAATCAAAACGCAATCATGCTCTCTGTGGTTTTGCACCCCATTAAACATTTGTCAAATCCTAAAAAGAAAGCAACGACCAGCGCCAAAAGAACCCTCCTGTGGCCCCAGAAAAATTCCCTGGAATCCAGGACGGCCGCCCCGCTACAGATAAGGGATTCTGAACACTGCATAAAACCATAAAACACCGGGCGCCTGACCTGGTGCAATAATCCTTTTTAATAATGAAATAAAATGCAATAAGATATACTCACAAAGGGAGACAAAAAATGAACATCAAATGGACTGATAGTCCTCAATAGATAAACTGCTCTGGAGGCGAATAATCCAGGAGCTCTACTGAACCGCAGAGTCACGCTACCTCTTGCTAAACGCGTTTTCGGGGGCACTCCCCCTTCTTCAGAGCTCTGTGTTATTTCATTATTAAAAAGGATTATTGCACCAGGTCAGGCGCCCGGTGTTTTCTTATATTTGTCAAATCCTGTTTGAAACTTGACTAACCCAGATTTAGCCACTATTTCCACTGAAGTGTATGGGGGGCACATCCTGTTAGCAAATTATAGGCATCTTTAGGGATAATAGGCAAGCTAATAGGCTAAAAAGGCATGGAAATTACATGGATGGGCGCTGGCATGGAGAACATGTGCAAATGCAAAAAAATAAAAAAAAAGTACAGCGTAGAGAGGGCCTTTTTATATGGCTTTGAGGGCGAAATTGAAAATATCTAATTCCTTTACTGTCAGAGCCATTTTTGCACACATTTAAGGCCTGAAGTTTTCTTAAATTCCCCCAAATTATATATTTTCAGTAAAAAAAATGTATGTTGCATGATATTAGCGGAATTGTTTATTGAACCCAAATTTTCATTAAAAAAATACGCTTAAAGTTCATTTTAATGCACATAAAACACAATATATTACCCGATTTTTGCTAAAAAAGGAGGTTGTGTGGAGTAAATAGATACCAAACTTCAAAATGTCAAGCTTCAAAATTGTCTGCGCCCGTGAAATTGCAAAAAAAAAACACAGTACCCCAAATTGTCTATAGGTGACCAAAAGCTTTTACAGGTCATCAAATGAGTTAGCCTTGAATAATGGCCCAAAAATGATTGCTCTCTCTGGCATGTGAGCCAATACGTAACCTGTGTGGCATGTAGGGGCGGAGCAATGTATTTTTTTTTTTTCACTGAACTTCATTTTGCTATCACAGAGGGGACTTATAAGCCCCCTTTGTGATAGCACTTTAGCGGTGGCAAGTCCTCCTTGCAGATACCTTAGGGATCTAATAGAAATCATTGTCGCTTCTGGGTTTATTCTGCAGGGAGGAAATCAGTGGACAGATGTTCACTGGTCTCTCTCAGCTTACACCCACCATGCAATTTATATGTGTTGTGAGGATTAGCTTCAAATGGTAGCGCATTCAGTACACTTCCACTCGTAGACAACTTCTTTTTAGGGCATCCGGCCCACTTTTATTTAAACATTCATATAAGTTTTTCCCTCACAAGGCTTTCTCCAACAGGTTAAACACAAAATGTAGCTTTTCCCCTCAGCAATATAACATTTCCTACATCGCACCGACTTCAGGTTGTCTTTTTCTACAAAACCTTTCCCACAAAGGCTGTCTCAAAACACACTTGCCACACAGGCTGGTTTTCACCACACAGGTGATCCGCTCTCCCCAGTCTGCCAGGCACACAGCCTGGTTCTAGGGTGGGGCCCCTTTCTAAAGGTGGCCACACACCTTACGATTATCGGACGACACTTTTCGTCCGATGATCGAACCGTCGTACGATTGTCGTACGGCAGCTCAATTATGCACCGATTATCGCAGGCTTCAATTAGCCGTAATTAAAGAAAAGCACCTGGACGAATTGCGGTAATCAACCGCACGTATTTTCGTTTGGGCATGAGCAGTGTAGCTCGTACGATTTTTGACGTACGGAAACGCCACTAACCTTGCAATAATCGTACAATCGGCCAAAGTTTTCGAACATACTTTTTTTTTTTAAAGTCGTACGATTGTACAGTATTTGCGGTTGTACACTGCCCATACACCTTGCGATTATCGGACGAAAAGTCGATCGCATACGATTATCGGACAAAAAGTTGATCGCGTACGATTATCGTAAGGTGTGTGGCCACCTTTAGGAGGCTGGGAGTTCTTGTAGAGGTCTTAACAAGCCAGCTAGCTTCAGCTGGGCTTGTTACCTCCAAGCCTCCAGCCCTCTCAGCACTTCCCCCTAGAGGACAAGCTTTAGTATAACACCTGAACCTGGGATATACATCTATGCCATTCTGGCTAGACCCAGATGTTTTTATCAGCCTGCTGCCACGTAGTACACAGTCTGCTGTCAGGAAAGTGATGTTTTTCTCAGATATTCTTAGTGACAACATACACCGGCAATGAATACTGGACTGCGAAATAGATTTTTTTTTTCCTTTACAAATAGCTTAGCCTACATACAACAGCAACCCAATCTGCTTTGTTGTACTTAGAAAAAAATGACTTTTTTTCCAGGTACTTTTAGCAGCGACACATGCATTTTATTCAGTCCTAATAGGCCAGCCAAATAGAAATTAGAATATGAATTAAAAGACAGCAGCAGGACATTTTTAATAAGGGAGAAACTTGCTACAAAATGAGTCTATTCCAGGAAAAGTCAGTTTCCTAGAACCACCCCCCTCCTACTTGCAGGTCATAGCCCTCTCCTCTTCTGGGAGTGTCTAATTACTCTCTGTGCTGGCCAAGCTCCTCCGACCCTCCCCTAACCTTCTTACTTTACCTTTAATGTAGCTGCTGAAGGAAGGATCCAAGGAAATACTATGGTGTCACTAAATGAGACCCTGTCACTACCTCTTTAAATCCTTGCACTTAACAATCGTGCCTTTGCTTTGACAAAACTCTGAATGCTTGCTAAACTACAGCCTTCAATTCGCTGCAGCTCAAATTGACATTTCCAGAAGTGTTAGAGTTGAATAGGCTCTCTTCGTTCATGCTTGCCCACAGCCTCACTCTCGCTTCTCCTAGCACAGCCTTACCCTCTACGCTTTGTCAGCGCAGAGGCTGTGCAGCTCTCCGTGCAGAAATGCTCAGGATCTTACAGCACACATGCAAGAGTCTGGAGCATTGTGATTAGACTGACAGGTCCGTGGCAGCTGGGGCTGACATAGAAGACAATATGGCAGCACCCAGTAGAACATGGACAGCATTTTCAGGGTATTGACCAAGGTTGAGGGACCCTTGGACACAGCAATAGTAAGTAATCGATGGAACAAACAATGACAACATCTTAGGGACAGGGTCTCTTTGAAGTAGATGGAGACCTAGCACATCATCAAGGGACCAACTGTTTAATTTGCAGTCACATGACTGGTATTCCTCACTCTGCATCCCTTCTCTGATCAGCGGTGGGAGGAGCTTTCCCCTCACTATTGACATCAGGATGGTAACTGCCATGCAAGAGACTGTCAGGGATACCGGCACAGGTGACCCCACACCTGCGCAGGTACCCACACAGGCAGACCAAACATGTGTGACCACACAGGACAAGGCAGAATGTATGATATACCGTTTTAATATGCCAACCAGAATAATACAACAGAAACAAGTCTTAGCAACCAACTACATCTAAACAACACCACATGCAAGAAGAAACAGGCAAGCACACCCAGGGAGCAAAGCAAAACACCAGGGGAACTAAGGGACGAAAGGTCAGGGTACAAGGAGCTAACAGGACTCAGGAACATAAACAGGTCACGGTTCTGGACAACAAGCAGGGAACATACACAGGATACAGGACTCGGGACCAGCAGCAGGTTACAGGACAGGGGACTCAGGCTTAACAGGAAACAATACTGAGCCACAGACCTTACTGCAGTGAGGGCTTAAGTAACCTCCCAGGGAGCACCAGGTGGTGGATGATTGGTGGCAGCTGGGAGACACCTGCAGGTGAGCACCGGAGTTGCAGTTTCCAGCACCACCCAGTGGAGGTCTGGTACCTAGCAGTTCCTGGCTGCCTGGAGACCCCCACAGGTGAGTACGCAAACTGCAGGGCTTAGCTCCAGCGCCACCTGGAGGCACTCCGGATCCTAACAGACTGCCTGGGCAGTGCCGGGGCACAGTACACAACCGTGCCACCCAACTTTAAACTTTCACAATAAGGGAAAGCCTGGAGAAGAGATAAGAACTTGAGCTCATTTCTAGACAGGAGCATGTAATATACAGCACAGCATAAAGATTGCAGTGGTTATGATGATGTAAATATAAAATGTCCATGCATTTTTCTTAAATACAAGCTCCTTTTGAATGGCATAGTTGTAGGCCCTGAGGGGCGGGCTTCCGATGACTGCAAATAGGCAGTTTGCGCATGCGCGTGCGCACACCGGCCCGTTCGGCAGTTGTCGAACAAGCAGGCCACTAACTCGCCGAGAACCGTACGATTTTCGGCGGGTTTTCAAGCCTGCTTGCTCGACAGAAGACGTGCGACCGTACAGTAGAAACGGTCGCACGCCTTCCATACACTTTGCGATTATCGTACGATCGCGGGATTTCCCGCGATTCTCGTACGATAATCGTACAGTGTATGGGCACCTTTATAGTTGTCATACAATGTCACTGTCACCAAGTGTGACTAAGAACATCGCCTTCATGAGGGGGGTTGAAATAAAAAAAATTAACCTCTTAAGGTGACAAACAAATCTGCAGCCCAGCTGCAGAATTTCATTATAAGCGGTTCATTTTTATAATATTGGTAGTATAAAAAGATATTTATATGTATCATTTTTATTTTACATTTTGTTTTTACACTTTCCACTATTTAAAAAAAACATTTTTTACACTTTTATTTATTTAATTATATCAAGCAGTCATTGTGAATACATATCACTATGACTGCTTGATGATTGAATTATTTTTTGGTTATTTTTAGGCTGCTCCAAACTTAGGAACAGCCAACAATAACCTTAGTGACAGCATTTCAGGATCAGATGTCACTAAAGGCTTCTGATCGTCCCCAGAATGATCAGAAGGCTGATACAATGTTTCAGAACAGAAACATGTAGCTAAATGTTTCTATTGTGGCAGTGTAAGCCAATGCCACAGAGTAGTATGGCGACTTTGGCACCCAGGACTCTCAGCCAAAGGGGCTGAGAGGGTCCAAAAAGTAAAGCATGTTATAACGAAGAGCCTGGCTTTTCAGGTTCTTCCAGGTTTTCCTAATTGTAGCTGGGATCTGGAGCTCTGGAGATCTCTAAAGGTGCCCATACACTGCACGATTCTCGTACAAGAATCGCGGGAAATCCCGCGATCGTACGAGAATCGTGCAGTGTGAATGAAGACGTGCGACCGTTTCTACTGTACGGTCGCACGTCTTTTGTCTAAGGAGCACGGTAGAAAACCGGCCGAAAATCTTACGATTTTCGGCTGGTTTGAACGGTGCTCGGGAGACAAATGCCGAACGGGCCGGTGTGCGCACGCACACACTGCCCGTTTAGCATTGCGGTCATCGGAAGCCCGCCCCTCAGGGGGGGCTTGCGATGATCGCAAGTACGATCTGCCTGTCCAAGATGAGCAGATCGTACTTTTTTTAATTATTTACAACCATAAAGTGTATGGCCACCTTTAGAGCTCTGGGTGGGATGAGATCTCCAGTCCTGGGGCCTGGTGTTTCCAATGACCAGCCTGGGCTGATCAGGTGGCTGAGAGCAGCCTCATTAGGAAGCCAGCTCAGCACTCAGAGGGGAGTGTTGGAGTTGTGTGTGTGCAAGGAGGCACACGGACACACGCAGACTCGGGTGCGTGCTGGACTTACAAGGAACAGCCGGGGGAGGCTGGGAGAGGTCAGGAAGGTCGGTGACCCCAGGACCGCTGGGACACACTGCTGAGAGAGCAGAGTGAGGGCTCATGAGGAAAGCTACTGAGCCATATAAAGGACTGTCTTATGTTGCTGCAAGCTATTTTGTGTTTGCCCTTTAATAAACTGCATTTTACTTGATTTACCTGGACTACAGTGGAGTGTCCTTGTTACACTATGCAGAAACATTGTAGCAAAAAGTCGGTACACATGGATTTCCCAATCTGTACCAGATGTCAAACAGTGACAGCAAGTGAGGTAAATACCGCTCTGCTATCGCTGTCAGACACCCGATTCCTAAAAGGGATCGGGTGCCTGAAAAAGCTTAAAACTTGAATTAATGGATGTTTGATTTTCAGCGGTTACCGGCATTACAGAAACCCGAATAGCTGATACCGTACAGTGTACATATCCCATATCGAAGGGTGAGAGTCTTCCAATGCATGGCCTCTCCAAGGCTTGTCAGAAAAACTTCCAGGTAGGCGAGCTCTCACACCCCCTTGTCCTGCCTAATGACAGAACACAACGCACATTGGAAGTGCGTCCACAGCAACACAAGAATGAGCGCCCTGGATTCTTCAAAACCTGTACATGTGAACTAACCCTTTTTTGAGATGGTTCCGGGTGTGAAGACATCACATCTAAGATGGCACATGGCTTTTGATTGTCTACAAATGGGAGGCGTTTACAGATAAATACCATTCATATAATACATTAAAGGAGAAGTATTGAGAGAGTAAAAGATATTCAAAGTTCAAAAATGTCACCAGCACACCAAAGGTAAAGTGAGAATCAATCCATTTAATGACACGGCATTGTCATGAAAGTGCAAGCGCTTTCGGGGCCGCATAGGGTCCCCTTCATCAGGCTCAAAATGACACCAAGTGTAACAACAACAAAAACCCTTTAAATAGGCATATTACATGTGAATACAAGGAACCTCCTACCCCTGGACACATCCCATAATAACACGTAATCACAGGTAATATGCCTATTTAACCAGTTGACATCCGCGGTGTTAAACCCCCTTCCCATCCAGGCCATTTTTCAGTATTCAGCGCTGCGGTACTTTAACTGACATTTATTCCGTTATGCAGCGCTGTACTGAAATGAATTTTATACCCTTTTTTGGGGACAGATAGAGCTTTCTTTTGGTGGTATTTATTCACCACTGGGGGTTTTATTTTTTTAATATATTAAGGAAAAATTACCGAAATTTAAAAAAAAAAAACTATGGACCCGCTGATCGCCTATATGTGTAACACCCGGTAACGGGTGTGTGCACTGATCGGGTCTTTTCTGCCCGTGCGTGCCCGCTAGGGGGCGTGCGCGAGCAGAAAAAAATTGCCGTCTGGAGACGGCAACCCGCAGATGCAGCAGTGCCGTCCGTCTGTTTTTTTTACTACGGGCGGACGGCAAGAGGTTAAAGGGTTTTTGTTGTGGTTACACTTGGTGTCATTTTGAGTCTGATGATGGGGACCCTGTGCGGCCCCTGAAAGCGCTTGCACTTTGATGAAAATGCGGTGTCATTAAATGGATTGAGTCTTACTTTACCTTTGGTGTGCTGGTGACATTTTTGAACTTTGCGTATGCTGTACGGTGCCATCCGTAGTCATTACAAGCACCCACCTGGCCTTTACAGGTTGAAACCATACCGGTAAGGAGTGCAGCAAGACGCATCTGTATTAGTAAAAGATATTCTTCCCAAAGGTTTGAGCTGGCATGTGACACTGCAGTTGTCACATGCTGGCTCTATAGATCAAGAACTGAGCGATCACAAACCGCTGATCACTCAGCTCACGGCTTCTCCCTGCAGATGGTAAATGTCAGTCACTGCTCCCTGCTGGGATTCCCACCTCCCTCTTTCTGTTCCTCCAGTGCTCATTGGAGGGACAGGCAGGGGAAGGGGTGGGCACAGCTGGCTCTAGAGAGGCAGAGCCAGGCGTCAATCAGGCAGCAAGGTGGATCCTGACAATATTGTCTGTATCCTTCCTGGCTGCAATGCGGCTCTGCGCGGTCAGCATATAGCCAGCCGTAGCCCGCTAGATGCTGACTATGGTCACACGACTACATTTGTAAATGAACTCCTTTGACCCAAAAGAGAACTAATGCCAAAAAAGGTTTGGCTTTAGTTTTCCTTTAAATACACACATAGGCTTGTGGAAATATTGTTTACTGAAAGGAATAATCTCGTGACATGGCTTCTTTAACTGACTGAACAAAACTTGCATGCTCGCCTCACTTTATCTACTTATAAGCACAGCTTGAATGCTAGGCAAGGGATTCCCGCCCTAACTTTGAGCTAAGTGACGTAGCCGATAGAACGTGCGCGCCTCCTGCGCCTCATCACATACGTTTCTCAACCACACTCCAAACTAACTAATCAGAAACCCGCCTGGGATCCGCCCACCTCACGCTGCACGTAGGTGCGCGACGAATGAGACGGTACGTGATGTTTTGACGCACAGCAAAGGAAAAGGAAGAGGCGGGGCTAAAGGTTCAGTAATGGTTGCCGCGATGTTCCCGGGTGTGTGATAGGCCTGCGTGTTAGAAAATATTACCCTTCGAGACTTCTCTCTGTGCCTGGTTTTGAAGAAGTAAAGCCCTTAGAAGTCACGAGACTGCTGCGATACTTGGGAGGAGGTGAACGCGGATAGCCCGTAGCAGCGGGAACAGGCAGATCGCTGTGCCTCCGGAGCTGGACGTGGAGACTCTGACATATGTAAAGCATCGGACAGCTTTCATTCCAGTGTCAGGCTGCCGACAGTTGTCACGGCGGTGACTGTTCTCAGGTAATTGCATTTTAATAACTCGCTCTGCTTTCCTGCGTCTGCTGTGCAGCATGGTGATGCAGAGGGGGCGGGCCCCACGCAGGACTAAGTGTCACGTGTACAGGTCGGCTGGTCAAGAGATTGCTAAAATGACCTGTTCAGTGCGGAGAACTTGTTGCTAAATATTGCATCTGCCCTAAATCATGTCTGGCCTGCTGATCACAAATACGCAGGATATTGTGCTGGCATACACCATGAGCATTATGCATAAGCAGGCAAACGCAGCATTCCAGCTGATGTGGAGCTACAAGTCCCATGAGGCATTGCAAGCTTGACAGGCATGACTCCCAAGAGCAGAGAAATGCTGGGATTTGCAGTTTCACCCCACCTGGAGTGCTGAGGTTGCCTACGGTTGTCATGGAGTGTGCATTGATTGGCTCGAGGCGTATTCTGATTTAAACCATATAGCAAAAAGTAAATGTTTGTTTACTCATTTGTTGCATTAGAACTTACAAAGCATTCTAACTGAGATCAGAAAATGGCGGCTGCAATGCTCAGGCTTCTTCTGTCTGTCCGGGAGTTATCAATGGATGGATTTCTGTGGAGATGTTACTGTACTGACTCCATTGACAACTTTGCAGTGGCGATGGTGTGTTACATTTATAGATCTGTGAATGGATGATATAACTACATGAATACACCTTGTGTGGTTTTTCCAATATATCTATGGCCACGCTGATGTCGGCAAATAGATGACATCGGTAGTATTACAAATGTAGGAGCCAGAGATCTGCAAAATGTTGCATGTGCGAGGGTGACAAAAGTGGGCAACTTTTTTCATGAGGTTGCACCGAGTACAGTACCCACAAGGGAACATTTCTTAAGGTTCAGACAGCCAGTTACCTGTTGGAGGTTTTGGTAGAGTGAAATCAGCATGTACAAGTTGGTTCTAAACCTGGCCATACACCTATAGATTATCTGCAGATTTTCTATGGTCAGATGGAAAAAGTGCAACAGATTCCTCCATCTACGTTAAACTGTGTGGATGGAGGAATCTCCCACTGGCCCAAGCTTCAGTATCTTGCTAGTCGGCCCCGCTGGCTGTCAAAATACCTGAACAATCTGATTGGCTGCAGGCATTCGCAGTGGGTGGATGCAATGGCCAGGTGGCTATTGCAATTTGAAGTAGCCAATAGCAGGCTGACTATTGCTCCCGACCACTGCCTGCTGTGTTTACATTCAGCTGTCATTTCCCGGCTAAAGCCATTGAAGTGGAAAGGTGACACTAGGGGGTATAATAGACCCCTAATGTCACCTTTAAAGAAAACCTGTCATCTTCAATGTGCAATTTAAAGTCCCCTGCAAATGTGCGCATACGAGCGGAAAAATAAGTCGGGTGCACCTACGTACAAAAAGGCGATTGCGCTACACATGTCGATTATCGCCGCTTGCGCCAGTTAAAACTGTATTTGAAAATTGCAACTGTTGAAAATAAAGCTTTGTTAGTTTAAAAAAAAAAAAAAACCTGGCGCCTAACTTTTTTAGCTGGCTCCTAGATTCTAAGAAAATTTGTCACGCCTCTGGTCTAGGTTGTTGGCTACGAAGTGCCATTTACCCATTTTATACTAGAAAAATTATTTCTTTAAAAAAAAAAAGAAAAAAAAAAATATATATGTATGTGTGTGTAAAGTATTGGGACACCCCTCCAAATCATTGGGTTCGGGTGTTACCATCACCTCCATGGCCACAGGTGTATAAAATCAAGCTCCTAGGCATGCAGACGCTTCTACAAACATTTGTGAAAGAATGGGTCGCTCTCAGGAGCTCAGTGAATTCAAGCGTGGTACCGTAGTAGGTTGCTACCTGTGCAATAAGTCCATCCGTGAAATTTCCTCGGTCCACTGCTAGTGGTATTGTACCAAAGTGGAAGCAACTGGGAACAACAGCAACCCAGCCACGAAGTGTTAGGCCACGTAAAATGACAGAGCGGGGTCATTGCATGCTGAAGCACACAGTGCACATTAGTTGCCAACTGTCTGCAGAGTCATTAGCTATAGACGTCCAAACTTTCGTGTGGCCTTTCGGATTGGCACAGCAGTGTGACGAGAGCTTCATGGAGTGGGTTTCCATGGCCGAGCAGCTGCATCCAAGCCTTACATCACCAAGTGCAATGCAAAGCGTTGGATGCAGTGGTGTAAAGCACGCCGCCACTGGACTCTAGAGAAGTGGAGACGTGTTCTCTGGAGTGACGAATCAAGCTTCTCTGTCTGTCTGGCAATCCGATGGACGTGTCTGGGTTTGGCGGTTGCCAGGAGAACGGTACTTGGCTGACTGCATTGTGCCAAGGGTAACGTTTGGTGGAGGGGGGATTATGGTGTGGGGTTGTCTTTCAGGGGTTGGGCTTGGCCCTTTAGTTCCAGTGAAGGGAACTCTTAAACTTTGTGGGAACAGTTTGGGGATGCCCCCTTCCTGTTCCAACATGACTGTGCACCAGTGCATAAAGACATGGATGAGCGAGTTTGGGGTGGAGGAACTTGACTGGCCTGCACCTCAACCCGACAGAACACCTTTTGGGATGATTTAGAGCGGAGACTGCGAGCCCGGCCTTCTCGTCCAACATCAGTACCTGGCCTCACAAATGCGCTTCTGGAAGAATGATCAAACATTCCCATAGACACAGTCTTAAACCTTGTGGACGCCTTCCCAGAAGAGTTGAAGCTGTTATACTGTCACGGATCGGGGCTCACGGGTATAAACTGGAATCCGGTATGTGGACCCTTTCTACTACACTGGCAGGGACACTTCGAGGAAAAGTACCAAGCAGACGACTCCTGGAGCTGGAGTACTAGCAGGGTGCAGAGCAGGGGAACTGAATGAGGCAGTGGAAGACAGACTGGTAGGTCAAGGTACTAGGCAGGGGGCAGCAATGCTAGGTAGGTGGCATGGGGTGCCCCAGGATGTGGAATCTAAGGGCCAGCCGGTCTTCACCAGAGCTCCTGATGGTGGAGATGGACTTGGCTGCGTGCTGACCCCCAGGCCACAATGCCTAGGTTCACCTAACAGCCAAGAATGGTTGACAGGGCCAGAGTTCTGGACAGGTTGCAGACACCCACACAACAGACCAAACAAAGGTCAGGGACAGGCAGATGAATAGGACTTCCAGGGACAATCCAACGGAAAGGGACAGACGGAAGACAAAGATTTCTTAATGGTGAGCATGGGCTGCTCGACACCTTCCAGGTTGTGGCCCTCTAGTGCACCCACACAGATGCAAAGGACTAGTTGAAGCACCGGGGAACTGGGAACAAAACCGGTAGGGATGAAACTTGAAACCAAGAGGAGGAGGATAGGAACAGTGGCACACAATGAGAGAGTCACAAGCAAAGGTGCAAAATGCACAGCAGAGAGTATACTGAAGAGGGTAGCTAAGCAAGGACACAGGGGAAGGGTAAGTAGCTTAGAGGCACACCTAGAAGCAGGAAGGTGTAACATACAAAAGTAAGCAAGAGATGTGCATTGCACATGCATACAAAGAAGCAGGATAACAGAGGGAAAAGTACATAAAGAAGCACAAAGGGATATATGCACACAAGGGGTGTGCAGACAAGGAAGAATACGAAGAGAAGGTGATGAGATAATCCAACACAGCTACAGGGTACGAGAGGAGCACAGAAGTAAAGCGGTGACTGCGAAGCAGAAGGAAGATACACTGGAAGGTAAGTCACGGAACTACAGTGCGAAAGAGAAAGTTAGGCTGAAGTACAAGGAAGCAAGTAAATGGGAGGAAGCAAACACACAAAGGCTGGAGAGGGAAAACACAGAAGTAGTGAGGCAATGAAAGGAGTATAGAGAGACTGACGGCACTGAAAGCAATTCAAGGGTTTCTAAACTCCATTTTTTGCCTGTATCGAATGCTAGCAAGCAGTCCATATATGCAAAAAGTTTTTTTTTTTTTTTTTTTTTAAATTCAATCATTT